AGAGAGAGAGAGAGAGAGAGAGAGAGAGAGAGAGAGAGAGAGAGAGAAAGTGCCCCTCAGGCTCACAAAGCTAATAGATACCCAGACCTATTTCTAATAAAACTTATACACTCCTTTCCATCTTGGGACTGACAATAGATTGTTTTGAATATCAATCACAGGTAGCATTTGATTTACAAACACAAGGATAGAGTTGTTTTCCATTTTTCACAGTCTTGGTGGCTGATATGAGGACCTCTAAGTGCTATGTTCTGAAAGTTGATGTATCACACGGTTATAGTGAAACCTCCTCTCCAGTGGGATGTTAGTATGAGTTTGATCTTTAGGAGTTATTTCAGGAGATCCGAAAAAGCCAGTACAGAGAACTGTACCTAAGGTATTCACACTCTAGATAAGTACTCTACCCCTAAGCTGTATTCCTGTAATGTTGAGGTTTTATTTATTCTTTGGTAGTTTTCATACATGAACACAATGTGTCCAGATCTTGAGCACTATTATTAATCCTGTCTGCCCAGTTGAAGACACAGGGTTCAACTTTGCATCTTTGGCAAAGAAAGCTAACTCTCATGACCAAGCACATATGCTGGTATTTCAACCTTGAGCCTTGTGCTCTCCACAACTATAAGCACACATCTATTGTTTATAAACCACACACATGGAATGATACATACACATGCATAGACATATACCATATATATTATTGAGATGCAATATATATATATATATATATATAGAAATACATCTGAATAGATACAGACATATAGACACAGAGAGAGAGAGAGAGAGAGAGAGAGAGACACTAACTAGCCCGCTAGCTCTTGAGCTCATAAAACCCTCTTGCTTCAGTTTTCCATCTCAGGACTGAACTAGCTGGCAGCTTATGCTCCTTTTTTAATGGCAGCTTGAACTGTTGGAGGCAACAGGTCTGCAGCTTATCAGATGTGTTATAAATCATAGGTAGACATGAGAAATCTTGGTTGTTGATAAGAAATGGATGTGGACATTTGCCACTCAACCAGCTCCAGTAAAGACAGTTACCCCAGAGCTTCTAAAGAGGGCACAGAGGATTGGATCCATGGTTTCACATACACCAGATAAGTCCTATACCCCTGAGCTTTATTCCCAGAACCTTGGGGATTTTTCCCTTTGGTAATTTCAGAAACTAACACAATGCACAATACTACCCTCACTGTCAAGACCCCTCCCCCAACCACAGCACCACATTTTCCTACCAACTCAATTTTTCCGTGCTGTTCTCCTCTTCCTCCTCCTGTTCTTCTCTTCCCCTTTTCCTCACCCTCTCCCACATTCTTCTCTCCTCATCCCCTTTCTATGACTCCCTGCTTCTTCCCTATCCTCTTCTCCCTTCCTCATCCTCTTTTTCTTGTTTCTCCTCCTCCTTTTCCTCCTCCTCCTCTCTCTTTAATAAGAGTCTAACTCAAATTACATTTTTTAATGTAATTAATTTTTGTACTTTTTTGTTTTTGGTTTTACAAGACAGAGTTTCTTGGTGTAGCCCTGGCTGTCCTGGAACTCCTTCTGTAGACCAGGCTGGCCTGAGACTCAGAGATTCATCTGTTTCTCTCTCCAGAGTGCTTCATTAAAGGCATAACCACTGCACCTAGAGGCCATGTTTTGTACTTTCTATGTAGAGACAGACCACCAATAAGTTTTCCAGTTTTGCCTGGAGTTTTGCTCTATGGCTCAGGCTGGTCTTAACTTGTAATCCCTGACCACAACAGCTCTCAGAGTAGAGACCATCACACATGGTCACAACAGCTCTCTGACTATAAGTCTATGTCATCTGATCTGGCTTTCTTTTACTTTTTATGGTGCCCAGGGCTTTGTACATGCAGGGCAAGCTGTCTACCACTGCTATATCCTTAGTCTTACAACTTCTTTAAATGTTTAATACATGTGACTCATGACATAGCAGATCTGCTCTAGGTTGTAAATTCAAAAATAGAGTACTTGAGATCACATAAAATTATGTGTGAGAACATTCATACAATGTATCAAAACTCAAACATAGGATGGGTGCTCCTATAATCCTGTAATCCACCTACTGAGGAAACCAAGGCAGTGAAATCATGTGTTCTAGGCCTTCATGAACTTCATAGAAACTGTGTCTCTAAAAAGAAGAGGTAATAAACAAGGACAACAGTTGTGCATAGTGTGGTAAGTGGATAAAATGTGTTGTATGCACACTTGGATGGCATTCCACAATAAAAGAAAACAAAAATAGTACATGAAGTGACCTAACTGGTCACAAAACATTCTGTTTATATTGGATTAGAGAGGAGACCCAGGATAGTAAGATAAAGCAATGTCATGTTTACTTTGAAACAGGATTAAAGGCAGTGAATGTCAGCAAAAGGGCCTGAGGGAAGCCCTGTGGGAGGCAAGGGGGC